GCGATCGCTAGCACGAGGTGGCGCAGGGGACGCGGCCGACACGTACGGGCGCCAAGCACTAGGTGAGCCAGCAGCGGCGCCAAACCGAGCAGCGGTGGTGACCGCGGCCAGTGCGGCTCGGTTCGAAATAGGTGACGTGCACGGTTTTAAAAGCTGTCGCGAAACCGTACCCGAAGGTCCAAACGCCAAACCCCTTCTTCTATACTCTAGTGGGTACGTATAGCTATCGACCTATGCCACGACATCACGCTACTTCTTAAGCAGATCTGTCTACAAAAATTGCCAAACGTGGCTTCGTCGACCCGTTTTCAAACTTACGCTAATTGACGTAAACTTCGAACGGTTTCGCGTCGAATTCCAATTCCGACCTACTTGATATAGTAGCTAGCGAACCTCGTCCTCGACTGCACCTATTTCACCGTCGCCTACGAAGTACGTACTGCAACTTTATTAAAGTTCGCATAACCGTTCTACACCATTTTTATTCGATAAAAATTCGCTTAGAATACTAAACGATATAAAGCGACATGAAACGAAAAATTTGTTTCGTGTTTCGGATAAACGTTTCAAGTACCGTACATTGATTTATACTTTATGTTACACATATTTGCACATAAGTGTGATGCTCATGCAGTGTTTTAGCAAAAATTGTATAATATAACACCGAGGGTGTTACAGGCCGCGCGGTGCTTAAAGCACCCGCGAGCCTGCAGCCCGGGAAACAAAACGGTTTCGTTTCTCGCGGGCTCGGCCGCGCGCGGTCCCTCTGCTGGCTCTCGCTATCCATTGCCGTTGGCGGCCTTTGGCTCTAGCGGGCTCACGCGCCAAGTGAAATTTCTGTCTCCCTTCTTATACCACCGCCGCGCCGCTAGGGTTTGCTCTCACTCACTCATTCTCAGTCCTCTCCGCCACTCTCTCCACTCCCCCGCTTCCCTCCTCGTCTCGAGCTCTCGATGGTTGGTGGTGGTGGCTGTGAGGTTGTAGGCGGCTCCGGCTCTCGAGCACGGTGCTTCTCCCTCGTCCGACTCGCTGGTGGTGACGAGGTCCGGGGCTTGTTCTTCTTCTTCCTCGCCGCCGGGTTGCTGCTCCCCAAAGACCTGCTATTGGTGGCCGTGTTTGTTTCCCTGGACGTCGCAGGCGAGTGTGGTGGACGGTGCTTGGCCGCCGTCTGCTCGTCGTCGCCTTTTCCGCTTCTTCTTCCCCGCCTCCGACCCTCGTCTTTAGATCCCCTTCTCGACGCTCAAAGCAAGGTGAAATCTCGGTCTTTCTCCTTGTGTTGCGCTCTGGGCTTGATGCGGTGCTCGATTTACTATCTGTTTCATCGAATTTTGGGCTGCCTCGAGGCAAAATGTTGGGGGGGGATGATGAAAATGGCTGGATCTGTGACTGTACACAATCCATGATTTCTGGTGCTAGATCTGAGATTCTAATGTGCCAATTCCTGAGCTAGGGTTACTGTAGCACCATAGCTAAGATTGTGTACTATTGGTGCTCATTGTTCATACATGTTGTAGCACCATCTTACCGATGATTCTGGCTACTTGATTTTTACTGCATGTGTAATGTTTGATTTACCACTGCAGCTTAGATGAGGTGTTGTCCTAAGGTTTTGTGCATATTTTCTATGATGTTTTCAGTGCTTTTTTATTTACATATGAGTCGATGATATATGCTTCTATCCTTTTGGAGGCATGTGGTGACACATGCAGCCAAAGATAATGGATCTGTGTCCACTTGTTATGTTATGCTGAACATGCAGCACTTTTTGAGGCCAACATTGCAAACCCAGCAACATGATGTTTCAATACTTGTTGTAGATGGATGCTGATGCTGATGCTAGCAGATCCCACCTGGCCTCTCAGACTGTTGCACTTGTTGTTGTGATTGTAGGTTACCTATCATATAGGCTTAAGAGGAAGAGGTCTGAGGAGGAACCAACAATGTATGGTCCTAGACTAGAGGCAGATGAACATAGATAAAAGAACCTGCAACTTATATATAACTCAACTGACTTTGAGTGCCTAGCAATGCTTAGGATGACTAGAGCTCCTTTTTACCAACTATGCAAACTATTTAGGCAAAGAGGGTTGCTTCAGGATACTTTAAACTCATCTGTGGAGGAACAAGTGTCCATGTTCCTCCATGTAGTTGGGCATAATCAAAGGTTTAGGGTGGTACATCAGAGCTTTAGGAGGTCCATAGAGACTGTTAGCAGACATTTCCATCAGGTGCTCTATATATGATGGTTTGTACATGATGATGCACTGATGTTGTGGCGCATCCTATGGGCTTTGAACTTGAAACCATTTGATGGCCTAGGGGCCTGTCTAATTCTAGACATGTGTTAGTAACTATAATGCATGACAGTGTTTACTTCATATGCTCTGTGATGATCTATTCTCATTATTGGTAACTGGTAATGTTGGTTCCTTCTTATTTGTTCACTAGATCTGTTGAATCATTTGCCTGACTTTTTGTTGGTTGCAGTTGGTTTGTATCTTTGTTTGCCTCTTGCTGTTACTTTGATACTTGAATTTCTGCTGACATTTTGGTTTTGCCATTCTTGTTGTTACTCCCTTCCAACTTTTGTCATTCATGCCACCTATGATTGTATACTCACATTGTTTTACCTTTAACATCTGAGGCCACAACATTTAATTTGCCTATCATGTCATTCTTTTGCCATTTACTGATTTGGGCCTGTGATGAATATACAACTACATTATATAAGATGGCCCTAGAGAATCCATTGTTTTTGTTCCTTGATTTGTTCTTCTATCTTCTGGCTCATATGTGGGAAAGGTCCAGGGAAACAAACATGCCCTACAGTTCATCTAATTTGCTGATGGTTTGTGTATTGTGGTTCAAGTTGAACTCTTGTAATTCACGTTAGATTCATACTTATGGGGTGACTGAACATGTTTAGTAAGCCTGTGTGTCATCTGTGACAATGTAATGTGTTGCTTAATGCTAAAACAGTGCTACCAATTCTCTGTTTTGTTCATTTCTTACTTGGAATGCTTCCCGGCTACCAACTCAGCTGTCCAGGGAAACAAATAAAAACTCGGCCTAGCTAGGCTCTAGTGGGAAATGCACCCAAACAAGAGGGTGTTGCACCCAATGGGCCTGCCCTTTAGCGTCCCGGCCCTCCTAGGCCGTCCAGGTCAGGCAGGTCCAGAAAAACAAACACGCCCTAAATGCACCGAGTATGCCCGGATTTCACGGCTTTAGTCTAGTCTAGTAGTGTGATGAGATCACTAAGAATATGTGCCTTGTTTGCTTGGTTGATAAGCCATGGCTGAAAATACTGTTGACTGATTTTATTGTGAGAAAAAAATATTATTCATTAATTGAAAAAGTATAACTTATAAACCAAATAGGGCGATGAATGGTTGTTGTCCTCGCCAATGAATGGTTGTTGTCCTCGCGTCGGTGTTCGATGATACCAGGCCGTGGACGAACAAAGATGTTCCAGACCAGTGACGGCCTTCCCCTCTAGATGCAGGGGAAGCGGACAATGCCGCCGGCCGAGCTGGCAACGGCCGTGGACATCTGTCCCGGACCGGGAGAGAAGCTTTGACTTTGCCGGTTTGTCCCCTGCCGGCTGCCGCCCTGGCCCCGGATCTTGTTCCATTATTCAAAGCTCCGCCGTATCCAGCAGGTGACACCGACACGTGTAATCCTTGGGCCGTGTGGATGGAACCGGTTAGCCGAGACCGAAGGGAACAGGCACCGGGCAGGCATATACGGACGGGACGGTAGAGGAGATGCCAGTGAAGCTACGGATGCATCTTTCAGCAAAATTCGCTTCCAAGAGATGCTAATAGCAGGTGCGATCGTGTGTGCATCTATCGCAATAACATCATTATGCTTGTGATAGATGCATCGCTCAAGAATCTTCGGCTGGCTGGACCAGGCATCGCTCCTAGTCGAAGTCGTTCATTTCGACCGTCTATGTACAGCTAAATACTAGTAGTACATCATAGCATCATCTTCATCTAAACACGTCGCGGCATATGTGTTACTCTACTGTATAAAATTACATCTAAACACGTCGCGGCATATGTGTTACTCTACTGTATAAAATTAGTGCCATTAGCACCGGAGGTGGAGGTATTTGACAGGCTCTTCGATGGCAGCCTGACCGCGTCGAAGGCCGAGATGATGGACGCGCTCTTTCCGGTTGTTGGAAAGGGTCCGTCCAGGCAGCTGCGAGAACGTAAGACCACCTCTGAGGTCACACCGCTGCGTCGGTTTTGGTTGTTTCCTTTCTTCTAATATCGCAACAAATGATATTTTACTAGGATGGTCCAGCTACAGCTATGTTAGATCGGCCTCCTTTAGCGCTCGATGATGCACGTTGGGCGTTTGTTTAAACTCTTCTACTTAATACAATGATACACAAACTTTTTTACGTATTTAAGAAAAAAACCGTATAAAATTGCCAACATGTTCTAAAAACACTTGAAAATAATTTTGTGAGCGTATTTTGGTCATTTTTATAATTAATAATTATTTAAAAAGAGGACCGAACCTTTGGTGACCTGGATAAAAAGTTTGACGTGTAGCAAGAAGAGGTCGGTACGATGGACGGCCGGTCTTCAACACAGTATCGATCACTGACAAGTGGGGCATGTTCCTACCCCACCGCGACTGACATGTTGGTCCCACACGGCAGCCAGAGCTGGAACGGTGTACAATTCCGCTACGCTCACTCCCGAACGCAACGGAACGGGGACCCCACTCTCTTGTTTTGTTTCCCTCTTTGCCCGGAGGCTCGGAGGCACCACCAGAGCATTCGTCCTCCTCCCCCGCCTCGCCGGTCGCCGCCGCCACCGCCGTCCTCTCCCAGCCTTCCCCTCCTCCTCCTCCTCCTCCTCCCCCTCGCATGGCGACAGCCCCTCGTCCCTAGCCCTAGATCCAGCCATCCCTCGCTCACGCACCACCAACCCCTCCCTCCCTCCCTCGCTCCCCACCTCCGCGCGTCCGCCCGTGCCCCCATGGACGCGGGGAATGGCTGCAGCGCGCGGGCGCTGGCGGCGTGCGTGATCGGCGGCATCGTGCTGGGCGCCTCGGTGCTCGCGCTCCACCTCGCGGGCGGGCCCGCCGCCATCCCTCCCCTGCCCCTGCCGCCGCCCCTGGGCGCGCTCCGCCGCCGCCTCCGCCGCCGCCCCCGCCGCCCCGTGCGCGTCTACATGGACGGGTGCTTCGACATGATGCACTACGGGCACTGCAACGCGCTGCGCCAGGCGCGCGCGCTCGGGGACGAGCTCGTCGTCGGCGTCATCAGCGACGACGAGATCAAGGCCAACAAGGGACCCCCCGTCACGCCGCTCCACGATAGGTCCTGTCTCCTGTGTCGATGGTCTTTTCGTTTCGATCTCCTCATCTTTTTTTTTTTAAAAAAATTATTAATCTCTGATGATGTGACGCGAAACGTAATTCTAGACTTGTAGCATGCGGTTGTGTTAACACAGGTTACTGGAGTGACGTTTTATTACCCGTAGCTACCTGCCCATGACCTCAGTTTCATCAGCAGTAATTCACCAGTCGAGTGCTATTTGGGAATTTCATATTCCTCCTGGGGAATCCGTTGTTTGTTATTGCTGGCTTTATAAGAGTTACTGTGCAGTGGACTGCTCCAAAAATGCTTTGCTATCAACTGGGTTCAGAAATTTTTCTTGCATGAATCCAATTCTGCAATCTGCACATAAAGAGAACAATCCAGAGGGTTTTATTTATGTGTTCTTTTTGGTAGTTATTAGTTTAATTTCATCCACAAATTGAGTTAAGGCCTTTAGGGCATAGCACTAGTGTTTCTATTGTCACTTCAATATAAAGGAGGCAGGTCACTTTGTTGTTTGACACATTCTGCATATGCAAATAATCGTCGAATGGTTGTTTTTATATTTCATCTGAACTTTATATTGTGTTATTCCTTTACGTGTGACCTGGCTGTACAGAGATTTATTTCACTGCTTCTCTGTGTCAGGGAGTTACTTACTCCCCCCCAACTTATATATGTTGTTTAGCACAATATGAAAATTGAGTTTTATTTATGTTTTCTTTGCTAGTTATTAGTAATAGGTTTCTTTGGTAGTTATTAGTAATAGGTTCATCCGAAAATTGAGTTAAGACCTTAAGGGTAATAGCACTAGTGTTATTTTGTCGCTTTCATAAAGGAGGTAGGTTACTTTGTTTGACACTTTCTGCATATTATGCAAATAATCCTCAGAATGATCGTTTATTTTATTTCGTCTAAACTTTTATATTGTGTCATTCCTTTTAATCCTTTACATGTGACCTGGCTGTACAGAAATTTATGCCTCTGTTTCTCTGTGCCAGGGAGAAATTTATGCATATTCTGATGTTTTTTTTCTGATAATACAGAATGATAATGGTCCGTGCTGTTAAATGGGTAGATGATATCATTCCAGGTGCACCTTATGCCATAACTGAAGAGTTCATGAACAAGCTATTCAATGAGTACAACATAGACTACATTATCCATGGTGATGATCCTTGTTTGCTACCGGATGGTACTGATGCGTATGCTCTTGCCAAAAAGGCTGGTCGATACAAGCAGATTAAGAGAACCGAGGGAGTGTCGACAACAGACATTGTTGGTACTAATTTCGCTTTAGTTTTTATTTTCTGCTTTTGATGTTAAATTTTGCTTTGTTCTTGTTCATGATTATATTGAATTCTGAAATGGGGATTATTTAGGTACTTGTTCTCAGTTGCTAGTTATTTACTTATTTTTTATTGAAATATCATAGCTGTCCTTTGGTGTTGCAATTGATTCTGTGTCAACCAAAAACTTCTTTCGTCAGCCACCGTACTGCAAAAGATTTCCTCAGCTGATTTGGTCATGAGGAAACCATTGTGAACCAAGTGTCATATTAAGAAATGTTTAAGGGATGATCATTCCATTATTGTTCTTGTTCCCAAGACTGCATGCACAATGAAGCTTCTGCTATACGCCTGTACCCATTTCTAGTTTAGAGTTTCAAGTTATTCAACATCTTGGGGACAGTGATTTGGTCATTTCTAGTGAATACAATTTATATGGTGATGAAATGGCTCTTCTCATGTTGATCGAGTATTGCTTCATGATAGGACGGATGCTTCTTTGTGTTAGAGAGAGATCATCTGATGCCCATAATCACTCTTCACTACAAAGGCAGTTCAGTAGCGGACATGGTCAGAAAGTTGATGATACTGGATCTGGAACTGGAACAAGAGTATCTCACTTTCTTCCCACATCTAGGCGAATAGTTCAGTTCTCAAATAGCAGGGTATGACTTCCGCTGTTCTGTAGCTTCACATACAATAATATATCACTTCTTGGACTGTTCACAGACGATTTGAGACCAACTCTTGGATAGTCACTGACTGTAGAAATTCCCAATGCAGGGTCCAGGTCCAGATTCTCGGATAGTTTACATAGATGGTGCTTTTGATCTGTTCCATGCTGGACATGTCGAGGTAAATGTGAATTCCTTTGCACATTCCCACCCACCTGAAATGGGGAAGGAAAGAAAGAAATCCTCACATCTGTTTCAGCTAAGTCTGTTTAGGACACAAATGCCTGTGCTGGCTGTACTTCTGTTTTTGCAAGGAGAAAACTAAAATTAACCCTCCACGATTCATATATTCTTGTGTTTATAGTTTCTTTCCATGTAGATATTACGACTTGCTCGAGAACTTGGAGATTTCTTGCTTGTGGGGATTCACACAGATCAGACCATAAGGTAATATGATGATTGCATCTATATTCTCCCCTATGCTTAAGTTAGTTCAGTTCTGCAGTAGTCCTTGTTTATAGTCGGAGTTCATTTCTGTTGAAGCATTATATCTGTAATGTATAACATTCAGCTTACTTTTATTTCGGCGTTTACTATTTTTTGGCAGTTCAACTCGAGGACGACACCGCCCAATCATGAATCTCCATGAGCGAAGTTTGAGTGTTTTGGCTTGTCGTTATGTTGATGAGGTGATCATTGGTGCTCCATGGGACGTTTCAAAAGACATGGTGAGTTATCTGTTCTCTTCTCACCATGGAACTCACTAATTTAATTATAGAACGCATGATGAAATGTTTGTAGTTGTCTGGTTGCTCCTAGTACACAGCGCTCTTAACACAATAGACAATACATTGACCATAAGATCTGTAATCCAAGCCCAGATTATCTTAGTATAGATAAAAAATAAGGCTGGCATGCTCTTATCCATGGATTGATACAGAAGAAATAAGCCTTGCATGGTATGCTCGCATCCATATTTTAGTTTGGATATAAGCTAGGTCTGAGGCTTTGAGATTTGCTTAACTGAGCCTCAGACATATTTAAATAGTTGGTTGGCATCTAAATCAGATTTCAAATAGGTGTAGACCCATTAGCGCTACCTGTTCCATTTTGGATGCTATTTACATTGGACAGAAATGACCAGAGAGTAGAGACTAGACCCAATTTTGATAGAAGCAGGAATCAAGTTCTTACAATCGTCTTAATCTCAAATACTCATAGCCTGAATAAGATGTAAAAAGAAAAGGACCAGGGCCCATACCCGCGGCCTAAGAAAATGAAAAAAATGGCTCCGTTGGCTGCAAGCCCCCTCAGCAGGCACTGTAGCAGCAGCAGCTGAACAGGCCCATTAAAATTTGAATAGCCGGGAAATATAGAGATGGCACCTGCACAAAGCAATACACCTTGCAGAGTGATTATGGGTAATATTATTGCTACTTCCTACGTTGCATGGATACGTGAGGTTGGCCACGTATCCCGTATCGGATACACTTGGGATATGCGACGGATACGCATCCGTGAAGTATTGGCAAAAAAATAAAGGGGCGTACCCAGTGCAGAGAGCTCCCGCTCTGTGCGGGGTCTGGGGAAGGGTGTCAATGGCAAGCCTTACCCTCGCCTGTGCAATGCGAGGAGACCACGACTCGTATCGGCAAAAAAAAAAAAAAAATTGCAAAAAAAAAATCCAATACTTGGTCTGATACGTATCCACGCGATTTGATGAATGACGATACGTATCTGCCATGGACACCTGCCTAGACACCCTGCTGCATGAGCGCCGCCGCCTGACGTGCCTCTGCCCGCTTGCACCCGCGAGCGCTGATAGCGCCTCCTGCCCGGATGCACAGCGGCACGAGTGCCGCTGCCCGACACGCGGCTTCCTGCCAGTACGCTCGAGCGCCGATGGCGCAGCCCGCCCGACGCCTCCCTCCTGGCCGCCCGCCTGCCTCAGTGGCCGCGAAGACCTCCAGCACTTCCTGGTGGCGATTCAGCAGACTTTCGGTGATCTCCCCTTCTTAATTTCTTTCTTCCCTTCCTGATCTAGTCACTCGTTGCTTCATTTCTTCCTCAACGGCAACCTCCGTTCTGTTCTTGTTGCCTGATGTCTGTCTTCCCCTGTGGGAAGGGGTGAGAACTGGGGAAGCAAAGGATACAGACTGAGCGGTGGTGAGCTGTGCCAATTTTTTTTACTGGTGTCGGTGGGGTGAGTGGTGGAGATGGAAAGCTGCGTCAGTGCTTCTGTTGTACGAAGCCACTAGTCTAGCAGTTAAATAATTGTAGATGTGGCTTCAGGGAGCGTTTGATTGGCTTCTACTAATTTTAACATGTCTTATTATTTTTTGTAAAAATATAAAACGTATCTGCGTATCAGTTTTTTTAGAAAAATGACGTATCCGCGTATCCGTATCCGTCCGATACCGATACACGTATCCGTATCCATGCTGCATAGGCTACTTCACTACAAAAGAAGAGCCAAAAATGGAGTTAATAAAGACCAAGTCCTATAGGTTTTCCACTATTTTGTTCCTCATCTCTCCAACTGAGGACCTTGGTCTTCATCTGAGAAACTGAGCAGCTCGTATATGAAACACCATGGTTAGTAGGTCTCTGCAAAGCTATCAGTGACTGAGTTTCTGTCCCAGCCAAATGCTCTCTTATAGCACCAGTATATTGCCATCAGTGTCCTCAGTTTAGCCACACTGGTTGCATAAAGCACCAATTAGAAGGCGCATGCTATTTAGATATTTTAAGGTTAATAATTGAGCCCTCTTATGTATTGATAGAGGCCAGGTAAATGACTATGTGATGCAATTATTGTTATGACCAGTATGTTTGTGTACTGAATTCTCCAGCTTCCTTTTGTCGTGTGCAGATTACCACATTCAATATTTCGTTAGTTGTTCATGGAACTATTGCTGAAAACATGGACTTTACAGAGGTAATTAAGTTTTATTTATAAGAACCATTTCATTACTTTAACACACAAATGTTTCAATATTGATAACTAATTGTTCCTAATGCATTTTAGGATGATTCAAACCCGTATGCTGTTCCAAAGGCTATGGGCATTTACCGTCGGCTGGAGAGTCCCTTGGATATCACTACAAGTACTATCATCAGGAGGATTGTTGCTAACCACGAAGCTTACCAGGTAATTACTGTGATAAGATGGTTATGGGTCCTTTCTATGCAGTATGCAGCATGTTGTACAGTACATATATTTACAGTTACATTACACGCGTCAGTCGATTTTGTCGTCTACATATCAATGATGTGCATATGGGAGCTATTGTTTGCTGATATTGTGCTGATGCATTACTGCTTGAGCAAAGGCAACCTTGCATGTCAGCATGTGTCATTAAATAATGTCTGTTTTCTTGGGACCAATCTTCCCCCCTTGTATTACGCCTGGCAACGTGTTCTTTGGTGTGGGGCTGTTGTCATTTCATTTATTCTGGTCCATGGATCTGGTGCTGTCTGTATTCACTTTTGCTGTGTCCATGTGCCATTTTGCAGAAGCGGAATGAGAAGAAGGAAGCCAGTGAGAAGAAGTACTACGAGAGTAAAAGCTTTGTCAACGGGGAGTGAAGTTACGAGTAGCAGGACTTGCATGAAGATTGTTGCCTAGATCATTTTAGATCCCAGCCTTTAGCAACGGCAACAGTTGGTTGATCTACAGCTGTACCTTTTTTCTTCAGTATCTTTGATGTTCCGCTGACATAGCTTAGGAAGCATCAGGCGCGGCATTGAGCCGTTGAGGAATGACTACCAGAGTCTAGGAGCATTTCCATCATTCCCCAGTGTCGTAGTCAATTTTCCCCCGCTGTATTGTATATGCGCCTTCCAGCTGTTGTTTCCAGCTGAGTTGCATTTGAGAGGTCTATAGGCTTTCCGACCCCTTCGAAATTGTGCGTTACAGTATGAAAACCCAGAATGTTAGCGTGATTAAATATTTGCTGCTGGTGTTTCTTTCCCATCTGCTCTGTAATGCGCATCGTTTTCACTGGCAGCAATCCTTTTCTTGAAAATCAGGTTGGGTTCCTTCCGCCGTGTTGTTGAACTGAATGAATGAACATATGGACTGTCCGTTGTCGGCGATGGCAAAAGCGACCGATGGTACACCTGGTTGGCTGGCTGGCTGGCTGGCTGGATGGATGAACCGAACGTGGGTTGGTGACACGTTGGGATCTGATGATACGATATGGATCTGTGAATTAACTGAATTCCGACAAATGGTTGCTGCCAATCTGCTGGGCCTGCTGCTTGCTTGCTACGCGTTGTCGCGGATGGAAAGAGACGTGCTACCTGTGATCTGCATGCATCCAGCAGCCGAGGGGCACACATCTGGTGCTGGGGCTGTCTGTGCTTGCTCTCTTGCGAGCAACCTTTACTGTGTCTGGTCCACTGGCTGATTTGCTTGCCAACAAACGTTGGTTTCGCTTTGATCTTGGATTAGGACACTTGTCGTCTGTCTCCTGGTTTCTGGGTGCAGGATACTCATCGTCTGACAGTCATGCGTGGCAACGGTTGAGTAGATGTGCTCCACCGTTTCTTCTGCTTGGGTAATCGTTTGTCGTTTCCCTTGTATCTCTGGGAAGGTACAGGCCGGATACAATTCGTAAGAAAACTTGCAGGTTTGCACCTTACTTTTCCGTGCTGTCTACGTGTACAATATGTCATGAAGCCAATTCTGAAATTGTTCTTGTCATCTTCGACAGTTCACATCCGTATGCATCATTGATTTGCTCTGAGATGAACAAAAGGCCACAATTAGTGGTACTAACATGGACAGAATAGACGGGGGAGAGATTTTCGTGATGGATATGGATGCTGGGACATTACGATTCAAGGTGTGGGACAAGACGAAGGCCCCGCTGCTAGTTCTGACGCGTTACCGATCCTCTCAAACGTCGGCATGGATAATACATATCTGAACGTGCTTGTTGTGTGTGATTTTGACATGAGATTTACCTTTTGCGGTTGCTGGTGGGCCGGGCTCTGCACATGATATAAGATCCGGCCCCAATCATGCACTACAGCATTAGCAATTTTTTTCTTCATTTCCTGTGCCTCTTAAAGGTGCCAATAGTTCAACTATTATTTGCCAATGCTAAATTGTTTATCTCGTGGACTCCGGCTATCCAAGCTAAATAGGATATCTTGCATGCCCTTCTACCTGAATTTTGTCTTCGCTGTGGGCGTCCATCTGAAGGGAAGTACGGGGTGCAGTGTTCAATTTTCTACATTCATCTGTCCCTTCAAAATAACGTGCTTTCAGAGTCATGAAGCAAAAGTGACGTACATTGAAGGTCATACCAAGTTTCTCTACTCATACTCAGAAGCATAGCATTCTTGCTGACATACGTTGCACAATTTTATTCGTGATAGCAAAGTTACATGATAAGGAGTTTGGTAGACGTGATGCAGATGAGGAGTACCTACCAGAAGCACCATATGCAGCGACACAAACACAAGGAGATGAGAGTCCATAGTGGGAGAATGAGGATACCACCGTGAATACCATTCGAAGTAGGATAGTTGATGATTTAATTAGTTAGTGCGAGAAGGAGATAGCTATCCTGACAGAGATTCAGTAAACAACTCAGGGTTTTATGTTAGAGTGACACATTTGCTTGGCTTCAGCAACCAGACGCATGCGTTTGGCCTCAAGTGAGGGTTGTCCCACCTCATATATTATGCTCCACCGTAATTAGTTTTGGACGTGAGACTAAACCTAACACTTTTCACCGAGTAGAATGACTATGCACCCTTTTTCCCTCACCTTCTCTACTCTTTCCCAGCATTCATAGATAAAGTGGTTGCTATGGCATGGTCACCAAAGATGAGGAATGAAAAACACTAGCAATCTGACCACTCACATATACATTCCTTTTGTTTTCACTTCTGCTATATTTGTAGATTTTCTAATTTTTGCAGTTATTCAGGCAACTTGTATTTTGTCATTTTAAGGTACAAAAAATATAAATTATTTGAGTTGTCCTATTAACTGTAATAGTTGATTGTTTGTTTTTTTGCTGTTTCGACAAACGACTCGATCTGCAGTGAATCAAAGGCTGTGTGCCTGATGCTTGCATGTGCTATGCTTTGCCCATCATGCGTGCTAGGTGCGGGACCGAACTGATGAACAGACGAGGAAAAACACAAACAGAGGAGTTCAGCTTTTGTCCTGTCGTAGCTGAGCGTGCGCCTGGATGAAAAATAACAAGGAAATCGATCTATTTTTTTTTTTTAAAAAATCGATCCGATGAAGAACTTTTGGCGCGAGAGCTAAGATAACAAACCTACTCCTTCCCGTCCTTAAATAACTGTCACCGTTGATGTGCATGCCACAAGTTTAACTCGATTTATACAAAATATGTGTAACATTTGTATCTTCAAATAAATTTATTAAAAAAATAGATTCAAAGATATTTCTAATGATATTAATTATATACCATAAATATCAATATTTTTTAATACATATTTAATTAAAATTGTTTCTCAAGCCAAAACGATAGGTATTTAAGGACGTAGGCAGTGTACTGCAGTTAACAATGATATCAGCAGCAGCAGCAGCAGCAGGAGGATGCTAAACAACGCATATCCCAAGGAGTCTTAAAACCTGTAACCATGTGCCTTGATGGCAGCAGGTAAGAGAGGAGTATCATACAGTATATTTCGTGCCTTGGAATTATACGGAGCAACTACAGTACGATGTGATCGTGCATGCAGTGCTACTCGATCGGGATGACCACTACTTTATTTTTCTTTTGAAAGGTTACGACAGTATTATCATGCAATGCATCTACCAGGGCCTGGTTTAGTTAGGCAAATTTTTTTGAAAAATGGTATTGTAGCACTTTCGTTGTTATTTGGCAATTAATATCCAATCATTGTCTAATTAGGTTTAAAAGATTCGTCTCGTGAATTTCATCTAAACCGTGTAATTAGTTTTATTTTTTATTTATATTTAATGCTTTATGTATGCGTCAAAAGATTCGATATGACGAAGAACCTTAAAAATTTTTGTAAAATTTTGGTAACTACACTGGCAGTGAGAAATAAACTTCACTGGTTCAGTTCATGTTCATGTCAAGAACATGAGGCAGCCGTGTTCATTGTCAAACTACGACTTGTTTAGATTGCAAAAAAAAGTGAACCTGATAAATAGTATCACTTTCGTCTTATTTAGCAAATATTGTCCAATCGTGGACCAACTAGGCTCAAAAGATTTATCTTGTGATTTTCAACTAAACTATGTAATTAGTTATTTTTTATCTACATTTAATACTCTATGTAAGCGGCTAAAAATTGATGTGATGGAGAGAGAGTGAAAAAACTTAGAATTTAGATGGCATCTAAACAAGGGCCTAGTTGGAGTACAACCACGCTATTGACATGACATGACAAGGTGAGATTTGCAGATCGATGCGTGGTCTAATGATGTGATGAGCGAGCCTGCATGCACGGGGCTCTCTGTCTCTGACCAGCTGAGACCTCCTTCAATTCCCAACGTCACTGCGTTGCCGGGTGCAGGACTGCAGGGTGAGGACATTGTTTACCTCTTGTTTAGATTAGGGTTAGAAATCAGTATTCGGTACGGTAGCATTTTCATTTTTATTTGATAATTATTGTCCAATCATGACCTAACTAGGCTCAAAAGATTCGTCTTGTAATTTACAATCAAACTGTATAATTAGTTTTTTTATCTACATTTAATACTCTATGTATGTGTCCAAAGATTTAATGTAATAAAGAGAGAATGAAAAAAGCTGGCAATCTAAACAAGGCCCTGATGCCCATGCCGCCTCCTTTTTCACTTTTATCACCAACAGCACAGCCCTAACCAACTTTGCTCTTGGCTCTTGTCACACAGACTTGACACTACTGCGGCAACATAGTAGTATATCATTGCAGTAAGTACCGTACTGCTAGGGGCCTTGTGTTAAGCAGCTGGCAGTTGTAATGGCAGCAGCCAGCCAGCCAGCGGCAGATTAACGAACACAGTTACACAGTGATACATAAAGCTAGCTAGCGATCTTGAGGAAAGTTGATCTTCCTCGCTTGAACAAGGAAGAAGAAAGGTGACAGGTGCATGCTGCTAACTGTATTCTACAGGGCCTGCATGATGCAGTGCAACAGCAACTGCAACTGTAACTGCAAGACATGCACGTAGGATGGTGCGTGCGTGCGTGGTAGCTTTTGCTAATTCCAAGGTAGCAGTAGCAGAAGATCTTCGTCTGCTGCTAGTGTATCTCGCCCGCTGCCGCCTGCCTGTCCCGTCCACCTCCTTTTCCTTCCCTTTCCTTTCCTCCATGGCTCCATGGGCACGCAGCCGCTCGCATGCAGCAGCGGCAACCACGGAGCAGAGCAGAGCAGAGCAGCACATGCAGCTCATTGCTCCCATGCATGGGGCTCATGGCCACACAGGCCACCCACGGGCCTCCCCCCATGTGCCATCACAGCAGGTTCACACGCTTTGCCTCCAGGCTAGGCCTGGCCGCTGCTGTCCCCGGGGACGAGACGACAAGGAGGGAGCTCAGTGTGACAGTGTCCAGCTGCTGTGCTGCCTCTGCAGCTTTTTACAGCATGTTCGGGAGACTGTATTGTGTCGTGGATTATTTACTACTAGCTAATTTGATGTGAGAAAAAAACACTATTTCTAGCTAAAAATTTAGGATTATTTACTATCAAGCGAACAGGCTACGAACAGGCTATTAGCTGCTGTGCCACTGCCAGGCACGTAGTACTCCGTACGCAGGCAGGCCGAGGCAGGCGAAGCACCCGTGCACAGTTTGCACATGCGTGCATGGCAGCATGGGCAAATCGCGGGACGCCCACGCCACTCCACCCTACCATCGTTTTCGGCTTGCTCGTGTGGTCCTTTCTCCTATTTCTTCACACGCATGCACCAGGATTTTTTTTGTATGAGTGGTATATATTTAATGAAGTAGTGATTTTGTTAAAAGATACTATTTTATTGTGGTAATTAATACCTGAACACTATAGATTTTAAAACAATATTTTCTAAGAGTAGATGAGACTGTGAGAGGGAAGTTAAAAGTGATCATTATACCCTGACTATTATACCACAAACCTTAATAGTTATCTAAAAAAATTCATTACTTTTGCATATGGAGTTGGATGAAGATGGGTTGAGTTCAATATAAAAAGTGTAGAGCCTAATAAGATGTACAACTTTGTAAACCCTTTGTCCTTGAATAAATTAGTATCTACAGTGGTCTTAAGTTATCTATGATACAAAATAAATATATTATGAAAATATTTTATGATGTATCTAATCTAATGATATTAATTTCTTAACACTTTTTCCTATAAATCCGATCTGGTTTAAAATATTTGACTTAAGATAAATTTAGGAATTGATTTTTTCCACCAAAGATAAATCAAATTTAATTATTCATGAGCAATTAAATTACAAAAGTTGAATTTAGAAATTGGTTTATAGCTGACAAGTTTTTTATCTGAAATTATTTGCAGTGAATATGTGTTTTTAGTGAAATTTGCAGTGAATACGTAATACGTTGGTCGATACCAATGTGTCCGGTTAGCCGATACGGCCCAACCCAATTATCCCCAATGTGTGGGTCGCCCACCCTGCCTGCGCCCGGGCAAATCGCGTGACACCCACGCCACTCTACCCTACCATCGTTTTTGGCTCGCTCGTGTGGTCCTTCCTCCTATTTCTTCACACAAATGCATCGGTTTTTTTTGTATGAGTGGTATATATTTAATGAAGGAAATGACTTAATAGTGATTTTGTTAAAAGATACTATTTAATTGTGGTAATTAAAACCTGGACACTATGGATATTAAAACAATATTTTCTAAGAGTAGATGAGACTGTGAGAGAGAAGTTAAAAGTGACCATTGTACCCCTGACTATTATACCACAAACTTAATAGTTATCTTAAAAAATTCATAACTTTTGCATATGGAGTTGGATGAAGATGGGTTGAGTTCTATATAAAAAGTGTAGAGCCTAATAAGATGTACAACTTTGTAAACCCTTTGTCCTTGAATAAATTAGTTTCTAGAGTGGTCTTAAGTTTTTTTTGCATTCATCCAATTTATAGAAAATAGCATAAATATCTATGATACAAAATAAATATATTATGAAAATATTTTTATGATGTATCTAATCCAATGATATTAATTTCTTACACTTTTTCCTATAAATTCGATCAAATTTAAAATATTTGACTTAAGATAAATTTAGGAATTGATTTTTTCCGCCAAAGATGAGTCGAATTTAATTATTCATGAGCAATGAAATTACAAAAGTTGAATTTAGAAATTGGTTTATAGTTGACAAGTTTTTTGTTTGAAATTATTTGCAGCGAATATGTTTTTTATCGGAATTTGCAGTGAATATGTAATACATCGGCCGATACCGATGTGTCCGATTAGCCGATACGGCCCAACCCAATTATCCCATGTGTGTGCGTCGCCCCCTACTGCTACGCTTCCTGCTCGGCGCGGGCTGACATGACTACGCTACTTGTTGCCACACCACGGCGACGAGCCTCCGTGCCACCGAGAGAAAACAAATGAGCGAGTCCGAAATGTCACCTCGAGAAAGCAGGCTCGACCCACCCATGCACCAGCTTGTCGGCACACCGCCCCTCGCCACCCCTCGGCCTCATCGGCACGGCAGTCTCCGCGCAGCGCCTCCGCGAGCCGAGGCGCAGCGAGACCCTCCACGTGTAGCTCCTCACGTCGGGTCTCACCGGCAGCGCCGACCTCTCCGTCAAGCTCCTCGTGCTTCACCTCCGGTGTGGCTCCCTCCACAACGCCCGCGCCGTGTTCGACTACCTCATCGCGGGCTACTTCCAGCGGGGCGGCCCCGCTGAGGCTCTCGGGGTCGTGCGGTGGCTCGCGGCGTCCATGGGGTGGCTGGACGTCTTCGCGCTGTCCATGGCCCTAAAGCTGTCCGTGGCGCTGTCTCTGCCCGGCGTCGTCGCCAGGGAGGTCCATGCGCGTGCTGAGGTCCGTCGCACAGTCCGACGATATCCTGTTCGCGGCCCTGGTGAACGCCTATGTGAAGAGCGGGTCGCTTGGGTACGCGCACCGGGTGCACGGCGTGATGCCCATCTGGAGCGTCGTGTGCTCCACGGCGCTGATTATCGGTTGCATGAATGAAGGGCTGTTCGAGGACGCCGAGGCGATATTCGAGGAGATGGAGGGGAAGGACGTCGTGGCGTACAACGCCATGGTGGAGGGGTACAGCAAGATGGAGGAGACGGCGGAAGGCTTGCTCGAGGTGTTCAAGGCGATGTAGCGAGCAAAGTTTTGGTGCACAGTATCGACATTTGTGAGTGTGCTCGGGGCCTGCTCACTCTTGTCGTCGTGAGAGCTTGGCGAGCAGGTGCATTGCCAGGGATTCAAGAGCGGCCTAGTCTTTGACATCAAAGTTGGAAGCGCTCTGGTAGACATGTATGCCAAGTGTGGCCGGGTGGAAGACGGTCGTAGGATCTTCAGCCAGATGCCAGAGAGGAATGTGATCACCTGGACTTCGATGATCGACGGTTATGGGAAGAACGGCCTCTCTGACGAGGCCCTCCAGCTGTTCGGTGAAATGCGAGAGCGGCGAGATGTGAGGCCAAACCACGCCACCTTCTTGAGCATTCTATCGGTGTGCGCACACGCTGGGCTGCTGTCTCAGGGCCAGGAGGCTTTCCAGAGCATGGAGAGTGAGTACTTTCTGTGGCCGCGGATGAAACACTATGCATGCCTGGTGGACTTGCTGGGTAGATTCGGAAGCGTGCGGTAGGCCTATGATTTTGTCCGAGGTATACCGGTGAGGCCAAACTCTGATGTGTGGGCCGCCCTGCTCAGGGCAGCTACACTGCACGGGGACATGGACATGGCCAACATTGCGTCGAGGGAGGTCTTTGAGCTGAGCCGCAAGGGAAGACCGGGCGCTTACATGACATTCTCCAACACACTTGCGGCAGCTGGGAAGTGGGACAGCGTGCATGATGTTAGGGAGATGATGAAACAACATGGCGTGCTGAAAGACGCTGCCTACAGCTGGGTCGGCTCTGAGAACCCGCTGCTTGTCGACTGATGTACAGGTATAGTTTTTACCTACCCATACCATGTAAAATTTCTCCTGTAACATTTTAACATCAATCTATTGGAGAACAATGCATTTTTGCAATTCATATGATATAGAATCTATAACAAGTGTCATGCTGCGGGCTTACAGCTGAGAGGTAACGTCTTTGTATTCTGATAGTCGGTAATTAGCTTTCCAGAAAAACCAGATAGATCTGTTTGTTAATTTAGTATCCTAATTTCTCTTCCCTAATTGTGTTGGTTATACTCATACCTCAATGAAATTAATGAAGAAATTATTTTTATGCTGGATCATGTTACTGCATTGCAGGCTATACCAGTTGATATGTAGGATATATTCTCATATAGACTAACGATTTTCTATAAGTCTTCTTCTCAAAATGATGTGACATTTCCATCAGTTTAATCCTGGTTTGCTGCAAACTGAGTTTTCATGTGTTTCAACTTCATTCTTCACAATGCTATAATGTGTTCAATGTAATATGAGGATATAGGTAACTCCTTGTTGCTTCTCTACTAGAACATGTGCTCTGAAATAATCAGTAGAGTTTTCTTAAGTACTGTTTTTGTAGGTTTTATTGCCTGGAAAGTATTACTTTAGAGGATCATATCTGCAAAAAATTAGGTATAAAATCTCCATGCTGCTCATCAGTCATCATTTGAATTTTGAGAAGTGTTGGTGTTTCGAGTTATCACCAACGAGTAAATTTCTAGTATTGCGCGTCTAGCTCGGATGGTGTGCTTAGAGGACACGAGGTTTATACTGGTTCGGGCAGAATGTCCCTACATCCAGTTCGTCGCTGCTGCTTGTGTTACTAAAACTGAAAGTTTGTAGTAGGGGTTACAAACGGGCGAGAATGGGACATGTCCCAAGTCTTTGGTGGAAGGAATGAATGGGTGCCGAGAGTTCGGTTGCTCCTCAGCCATGTGCTTGTGTTGTGATTGGTTCGAGGTTCGATGGGTTCATGATTGTTCGATCAGGTCTGCCTTGGATCGATAGTTTGATTGTTCGATGGTCAGATGCCCCTCATGGGGCGCCTTGCTTTCCCTTTTATAGGCCAAGGGAAAGCACGGGTTACAGCGGAGGAAAGAAGGAGGGCGAGAGAGAGAGAGAGAGTCCTTCAGGATCTCTGGGTCCTTCTTATCCTTCATGCGGGTCCCGCTGACCCTGTAGATGTCAACAGGGATGGCTCCATGTCACGACCCTATCCGTCACTGGCGCCATGCGCAGGCATTGTCTACCGGTCATGGCGTCCCACTCTGTCCTGGCGGACGTCGTGGTGAACTAACGCTCCTGTCAGTGTTCGTACGAGGGTTAGGCAGAACAGCTCCAGTACGCCCGACGCTGTTCCTGATGTGAATCCCTAGGCATGACCCGTCATGGCCATGGGTTACATCAGGATGTGCTAGTCTCTTCCTTGGCGTCAGAGTTCTGACCTAGGCCCATACGCTTGGGCCTGAAATGGTTGGCGGTGGTATGGGATCCCATCGGGCAAGACGGAGCCCGCATCCGAGGGGTCGGGCGAGGCAGAGCCTGTGGCCTCGGGGGCGGGTGGGCGGAGCCCATGACCTCGGGGTCGAGCGAGGCGGAGCCTGCCCCTAGAGGTCGGAGAGGCGGAGACCGTGGCCTCAGGGTCGGGCGAGGCAGAATCCACGACCTCGGTGTCGGGTGAGGCAGGGCCCGCGGCCTCGGTGTCGGGCGAGGCGGGGCCCGTGGCCTTGGTGTCGGGTGAGGCAAAGCCTGCCCCCAGAGGTCGGGTGAGGCGGATACCATGGCCTCAGGGTCAGGCGAGGTGGAGCCCGTGGCCTCGGGTCGGATGAGACGGAGCCCGCGGCCTCGGTGTCGGGTGAGGTGGAGCCTGCCCCTAGAGGTCGGGCGACACGGAGCCCACGCCCTTAGGGTCGGGCGAGGCGGAGCCCGTGGCCTCGGTGTCGGGCGAGGCGGAGCCCTCCCTAGGGGTCGGGCAAGGTGGAACTTGCGCGCCTAGGGGTCGGTTGGAGCTGTAGTCGCGCTCTTGACTGCTCGGATGAATCAATGTTGATGGTCATTAGCTCCTCCTCTTTGGGTACCCTAGTATTGGTCCCCGACAGTAGTCCCCGAGCCTACGAAGGAGTAGAGTACTCCTTCGGAGGCTTTTTCGAATGGTAGGACTCTGAGGGCCTTGGTCTTCTTTCGTCGCCCATGGCGTGACCCAAGGACGGTGATTCCCTTTTGTCGAGATCGGACCCCTCGGGGGTATAGCCGTGAGATCTGGTAGGTCAGAAAAGGTCTTTCCTAATTTTGAACCCTATGGGGGTCTGTCATTCCACGATCGAGCGCTCGGCCTTTGTGCGAGTCCAACTTTCCTCGAGCCTCCCCCCGGAGCGGGGGTTTGGTCGAGGATCGGCTCGTCTTCATGATTGTCTTTCCTCAAGCGTTTTTTTCTGATAAAAACGGAGGGGCCAAGCCATGTCATGATTTTCCTCTACGGATGAATCATGGTGCTCGGTGAGCTATCAACGGGCTAGTCCGAGTAGGGCCCCGACATCCCATTCGCGGGGATCTGGCTTGGGTCAGCTGGTGACCGGCTCCTGATTCTCAGCGGTCAATCCATATAGTTCTTGGGTCCGTTCAACAATCTCGAGGGCTCTGTGCCTTTCTTCGAGGAAAAATCATGGATCATATCCGAACAAGACTCGAACGTGGGTCAGGATGCCCACGGCGCACATGTGCCCGGGTACTGGCCGCTAGCGGGTCCATCCATTTCCACCTCTCACTCTAAAGGTGCCCAGAGCGGTTGTCGAACCCATCGGTGGGCCAACCTTTGAACTCCTAGGCCTAGACGGGATGTAGTAGAGTTTTTAGCTCCGTATCCCTTACCTATGATGGGTCGTGGCCCATCTAGAGAGGCAAAATGTCCGACGAGTTTTCCAAGGGAACGGACAGAGGTTGTGTGCGCGCATCCCACGGCGAGACATGGTGGCAGATCGTGGCAGGCATGGAGATGTAGGTGGGCGGTTGGTTTCCTCACACGCGTCACCCCTATAAAACCAAAGGGTTAGCCCCTCGGGTTCCATACCTTGCATCCTTGCCTCCGCTGCTACGACCGTCGCCGCCAATCGCTTAGGTTTTCTGCCTCCGCATCCTCACCGCCGTCGAGCCTGCATCCATCCGCCCCCAACTCTAATGGATCTGTGGTGCCATTCTGACATCACCTTCCAACGCATGGAGAGCCTCATCCATCGTGGTCTTCTCCATGTGCGTACCTCGGTCGAGGAGTGGCTGCTGCCCGGCGAGGACTTGCCGTCGCCGCCCGATGGCTATGTCGTTTCATTCGCCCACTTCCATTAGTGTGGGTTCGCAACCCTCACCCACAGATTTCTTTGAGGGCTGCTGCACTACTACAAGATCGAGCTGTAGCATCTCAATCCCAATGGGATCCAGCACATGGCGGCGTTCGTCGCCCTATGCGAGGGATTCCTAGGGATCTGCACCCACTTTGATTTGTGGAGGCACTCCTTCACCATCACCCTCTAGAAGAAGAGGGGGAAGAGCGATATGCAGGAGCTACACATGCCGATGGGGTGCGCCGGCATCTAGCTCTAGAACAATCAGGTCGACGAGTACCTGTCCATGTGGCTTTCGACGTCCAATAAGGGGTGGCACTCGTAGTGGTTCTACCTCAAGAACAGCGCCACCGCCCCTCTGTTAGAGTTCACTAGGCGCCTGATCAAAGAGGCCCTAGAGTCATAGAGGAAGTGGGGCATCCCAGAGAAGCACAAGAAGAAGATCCGAGACCACATCGCCGCCATCCACATCCTGAAGGAGAATGGCCTGAGGGGGTCGGGCGTCATCGGGGCCTACCACATAAGGAGGGTGGCACCGTTGATGACGCACGCGCTCCCGCTACATGCGATGGCGCCTGAGGCGTCGTTCGATGGAACGACGCTCACCAAGGGGACGCTCCCTAACTCCAAGATCACGTAGCGCATCAAGGAGGCGATGGAGCCTTTGTGGGACAACGACGCGGTGCCGCCCTCGGCTTCATTTTCCTGGTGTCGGGGCATCCTCCGATGTGGCTGGAGCCAGGCCATGTCATATTCATAAGTTTCCCTTTCTCTTGCCTTCTCTTCAATTGATTTTCTGACCCCTTGTTACTAACTTTGAGAGGGACGGGACCGGCCGAGGGACCTTATCCTCATGGATCACCCAGCGCCATTGCCGAGGGATTCGGCTGTGAGGATGACGAATCGCGCCGAGGGTGAGCGGCTGAGGAAGGCGAAGCGAAGGAGGATAGGAAGAGGAAAAGGCAGCGGAAGCTACAGGCGCGGGAATGAGGGGAGGACACTAACAACGATGATGATGATGATGACAATGGAGACAATGACGAGGTAGTCGACGGTATCAAGTGGAACATCTTGGAGAACGAGGATGAGCTAACAGGTATCAATTCGTCCTTGCAGACATCTGGACCCTTCCCTGTTCCACGGAGTGAGGGTATGTCCGGGGAGCCGGCAGAGGCGGGCCATACCATCGGCCTGCCCCTAGGAGTCAACAGGCGGGTGGCTCTATCGTCGTGCCCAAGGTGCCATCGGAGGCGGGTGTCTCCACCGTCATACCCCAAGAGCCAAGGGGAGCGAGCCCCTCTGCTCAGGAGGAGGGGGCGGGCTCAAAATGGCCTCGCTCCGACGAGGCGGAGCAAAGGTCGGGGGTTCGCCCCCCAAACGCATCTGCCGCCCGACGGTGCTGAGTTGAGTTACCAGTTCCTTTGTTTTTCCTGTTTTGATCGGATTTCATCATGACTTACGTTTTTCATCCCTTGCAATGTCGGCAGGCAGTGGAATCCTTTTGGCGCTGGCGTCGAAAAAGAGCGTCGCCCTCCAATTGAGGCGGCAGCCGTTGGCTGGTGTCGTGCCCGTTTCGGGTGGGAGCGACGCCAGTGTGACCGCGTTCGCTCAAGGGACGCCTTTAGAGGTTACGGAGCAGCCGGTGATGGCTGCGATACCGCT